ACAGGGGGGTGAAAATAGCAACACTCTACATATATTATACGCATAAAAAAAAAAAAATTGGGGCCCCTAAAAAATCAAGGGCCCTGTGCGGTGGCACCACTTGCACACCCTCAGGGCCACCCCTGCGAACACATAAGAATCCCAATATGACCTAACTGTACATTAAGAAAAGATTTCACATCTGAAAATGTTTAGACTAATTCGGTAATCCAAGTACCGATTTGCTAAACTATGAGGCTTGTTTCATTGAAAAAAAACCTGTTCCTTGGAACCTTGCCAAGGAACCTTGTCAAAATAACAACCACTGTAAATTGAGAAGTCAGCAAACAACAACCACACAATGCAAATTATTAATATTGAAACCCCTCCATACGTCGAAGATATATTTCCACAACAACCACTTAAGAGGGGGCCACCAGGAGAGGACTTGACCTACTGAATTTGAGGCCTTCACACAAAGTACTAAAAGTTGTTGCCGTGATATATGGTGATAATTTTTCATGGAAATTTTTGGAAGATATATGGTGTTATTTTTCACTAACCTTGCTTGAGAGTGACGTGGCCTGAGATATATGGGCATGTCTGCCACTAATCTTGCTTCTAAATAATCCCTCTTGATTTGGGTTTGTTTGGAATGGAATGAATGAACTAATGATGAAGTGAATTGGGTTGTATTCGCCATTGTTCCTGTATTTAAGTTACTAAGCCAAGCACATGCACAAGCACAAGCACTCAGAGAAAAAATTATACATATAATTGCTTTCTGGGTTTTGTTTAGATTGTTCAATTGATTAGGAGGATGATTAATCGATGAAAAATAAGAGAGCATTGCCCCATCATAGTGGTTTCATTAAACAGTCCTCTGCTTTCTGCAAATATGTGCACTACATGACATTTGGAATTCATGTACAGCAAAGATACGATTAATCCAATCAGATACGACCCTGAAAGTGTAATCATATTCAAATAAATAGGCAACCAGGTTCGCACCCAGCAATAAGCCAAACAAAATATCATTCCCCTGTCTAGTATTTTCTCCCCTATGACCTGACTGAAGAGAGCGAAATTCAATCCAAGAATCCTGCTATCCCAGGTCAACCTCCCATCACCATGACCTGACTGAAGAAACTAATCAGAAGAGAGAAGAAAAAATCTCCCCCACGACAAGAGGAAGAAGAAAACTGGGGGAGAGAGAAGAAGAAAAAAAAGAAAGAGAGAGAAGAGAGAAGAAATAGATATAAACCGTTCAAATGCGTGATATGGAACTGAAAAAGATATTGAAAAATGCAAACCCGCTGTCGCGAACAGTGGTATTCGAACCCCTTTCCTTCCCCATCCTCTTTGCCGACCTTATCCAACACGCTGCGCATGAAATTGTGATTAAGAAGCTACAACGTTAACGTTTATACTGCCTCTTTAACTTTCTACAGGCATTTGACAAAAACAAGGGAAAAAAACTTTCTACAAGTTTATTTTAATGTTATTTATTATTTTAATCTTTCCTATGATATATTTAATCTGTTTAATGTTATTTATTATATTATTATGGAGGTTTATTATCTATTATCTATCTATATATAATGCAAAAGGCAAAGAAGGTGTCTATACCTATAAAGCAAAAGACAGAGAATGGTAAAACATTCAAAATATCAGAAAATGTCCTTGGTTAATGCAAACATTAAGAATTGAAATTATTAATTAAATGAGGATAATATGGTAAATTCACAATTTTTCATATTTAAAATTAAATTAAATTAAAAGAAAATTCAGATCATGGATAATATTGATAATATTTTTATGGAACACAACTACCCATTATATTTTTTAATTCTGAAATAAATTTAAATTTTTTAAAAAAGCCTCTCGTAGGTGCGGAAGCGCATGCGGAGAGGCTAGTTATATATAATAAAAAATTATGGTGTTTTTAATCTTCTTTCATTAATTACTACAAATTTGCTAAAGTCATAGTATTTGTCAGTTCGCTATATAGTTAATTTATATCACTCAAACCTACCACGCAATGCATTTCCTTCCAATTTTTTGTGATAAAATAGTAGATAATTGACTAAATAAACATCCTCTAAAATTTCAATAAAAAATTCCACGTTTTTCTCACAATTTCCATGGTTTTTATTCAATGTTTACCGATATCGATATTTTCTCGATATTTCCATCAATATATCCTTGTTTTTGGACCACCGATATTTCTGAAACCCTCGATATTTTAGACCTTGATTCTGATCACTTGTTCTTGTCTTTAAGTTACTAAAGCAAGCACAAGCACTAAGACTGAGAGAGAATAATTTCTTTGTATAATTGCTTTGTGGGTTTTGTTTGTATT